ATCTCCCTTCCAACATAAAAAGTTTTGGACTTTTGGCATTCTGCTGGATTAAAAAAAATGGGACATTAGTATGCTTTTAGTTGTCATTTTTCTTAAAAATGAAATGAGCATCTTTATGTCTGTTCAGTTCATTTGCATTTTTGTTTTTGTCAGTTGTTTCTAGACTTCATTACATTTTGTTGTTCTTGTTGAAATTGTCTTACTAATTCCTAGGAGTTTGCTGCATAATAAGGAAATGTGTTCTTTGTGCCATAAATTGCAAATTATTTCCTACTTTGTCATTTAGCATTACTTTTCTGTTGCGTACCTAGTTTTTTTCTTTGAATTCATTTATCCTTTTGTGGCTTTTAGATTTGGAGTTACAGCTAGAAGGTTTTGCAGCTTGGTGATTCAAAGAGGACAAGAGGTAACCTGAGAGAACAGGTTTGTATGGCAGATGTGAAGGACAGAATCAGGTCTGGGCGGGCATAATACTTGCCTGAGCAATGCTTTTGGTGTACGTAGACTAGACTTGATTTCTGTTACACCTAATCTGTGTTTTATATTCATTCCAACTGCTGATTCTGCAGACTTACAGTGGGTGCTTCATCTATAACTCTTGACTTCCGTATCTCTAGAGAGCCCTTTTCAGGATAATCTCTTAATTATCAAAATATATTGCATAACTATTTCCTTTCTTAAAAAATAATTAGAAGAGAGAGATTGTAAAAGAACAAAAGGTCTCTAAGACATGTACTGATACTTACATTTTTGGATTTGGCTTAGATTTTGATTCAAACAAAACAACTATAAAATGTCATTTTTGCGGACAATGAGTATAATTGGAATATGACTGGGTATATTAAATTTTTATGAAGGCATTAAAAAGGTGAGATAATGACATGGTGGATGTTATTTTAAAATACACTTTATCAGTGATACATGCCAACAATGCACAGATAAAATATGATGTGGAATCTTCTTTGAAATACTTAAGAAAAAAGTCATTTATGATAGGGCACAGGGTAGAGATATAATCATATTGCTGAAATATGGATTATTACTGAAACTGAGTCATTCTACTTTTTTGAGTATGTTTAAAAGTTTCTATAAAGAAAAGTTTTAAAAGACTAAATATAAAATTAACATATACTGCAGTTACTGTCAGGAACTTCAAAACTGGAGAAAACTCAAAGGAAAAGGAACATGATTGCAAGCACATCTACTGTTAACACTGTTACGTATCCTCCTGGTCTTTCCCCCATGTGTAAATTAAACACACATACTACTTTTTTAAAAGGACTATGGATGTCATTTCGATATTTTTTTTAATGTGGCATGTTAACTTTTAACTATTTCATAAAAGTTTTTAACATTGTTTTGGTAGTTTTCACAGCATGTCAACATATAGCTGTACCATCATTTATTTAAATACTGGGCTTTGAGGTCCCCCCCCCACCACCACCACCACTATAAACATGAGCATCCTTGTGGGTAGAATGATTGGTCACATCTGTAAATAGATCTTTAGGTTACAAACCTAGAAATGGAATCATTGGGTGAATCAGAGGGTGTACATAGCGTACGTCTGATATAAGTTGTAATCTAGCCTAGAAAAGGTGGTACCGTTTTCTCCCTGTACCAGCAGTTTATGGGAATGTTGGTTTTTCTGAAGACAGACCTATTCAGATGAATTGAGAATACAGCAGGCTGAGGAGGTGTAATTGTGGCACAGAGGCCTTTCCAGGTCTTCTATTGGATGAACTATTGCAGGCTGTGACAATAGGGGAAGGCAGTGTCAGCTGCACTGGGTATGTGTGTGCATGGCTGTGTATGTGTGTGATGGATCATTGAAGGGCCTGTAGCTTAAAGAGAACCTCACTGTCTCTAGTCCTGCAGGAAAGTGCTTGATTTGTCCCCAAAACCTGTGGCTTCAGATCAGTAAAATATTGAGAGCCAATAATTGATAATTTTTCGGGGAAGGTGTCAAAATAATTGATAGTTTTTATAGTGTCACATCTCTTAGACAGATTCCATGTCAGGCTTGGTGATTTCTTAATCTATGCATCCTTACATATAAACACATTGGAAGGATCTCCTTTATTGTTATTTGTTTAATGTTTAAAAACAGAAAAACAGAAAAAAGGGTAGAAATGATACAGAATTTCAAAAAAATAACAGTGAGAAATCATTACTAGTTAATATATTACATATTGTTATCTTAGAAGTAGTTCAAGTTACAAAATCATAGCATAAGAGATGAAGAGACAATCAAACAATGACAGCACAAGCTATTTTTGATGAACTAACAAAGTCTTAGTAGGCTGGTTATCCTGCACACGTAAACCCACATACAGCTATATGTGCAGACCCACAATGATCTCCTTTAATATCACCTTTAAGGACCAGCTTATCTCCCAGCACTCTCAGCCTCTCAGCATTACTTCTTGGCTTACATTGTTGTGGTGGCTGGTGATCAATCTTGTTTGTTGGTAGGATCTGCAGTATGCCTGCATTCTGAGGTTTTCACACAATGGTTGTTTAACATTCATCTAGGAAGTGCCAATTTGTATTTATGTTTCTTCATATTCTGTAATGTGTATTTTTTTTGTCCTGTTCTCTTATCAGAGAGAGTTCTTTTCAGAGTCCCATTATCAGCTTTTTAGTTTAAGGTACTGTTAAGGGAGCTTTTCTGTAGATTCTTGCTCCAAATACAGTGTTTAACATAGTCAAACAGAAAAGACAGCTGAGCAGGAAATCTGCAAACAGTAAATCTAGGAAATGAAAAAGTATAATTACCCTTGATTCAGCCTTTTCAACACAAAAAATAGAGATTCTCAGTGCTTTTCGTGGAGAGAGGAGGGGCAATGGATTGTAATGAAAATACCTTTGACGTTATTGTCTATAAGTTTCTGTTTATTAGATTTACATTAGTTGGACCACTTCCCTGCAGAAGACTGAAATCTGTGATCCTTCAGAATAGCCAGATCCCCGTGGCTTTCCGTATGATCGTAGGCTCTCCCTACATCACTTCTTGTGTCACATGGCTACCTTCTTGTACAAAACTTAACACAAAATGTGTAGGTACCCTGAAATTACACAGCTGTCTCCTACAGAGGAACTTATTTTACCAATCATTTTTTAAAATATAGTCATATTAAGATTCGCCCTCTTCTTTCTAAAGTGTAATATTTTCTGAAAGTCCATTGCTATTGGTGACTCCACTCATTCTTGGATGGAACTGGTTAGAAAATACCTGGCTGCTAGTTGCTCAGTGACATCTTGCTTCTGAACTGTTTGTGTTAGATTTTAGAGCTTGTGTTATATTTTGTGTCATATTTTAGACCTGCCATGTGACAGGTCAGTGGAGACTGGTAACAAATAATTGCCTTTTAAATCACTTGTTCTGGGGCCAGTCATAGTTAGGAATGCTTTTCCTTTGCTTAGGGAAGCCATATTTTCCCTTTCATCATTCTGGGAAATTATAAGACATCAAGAAAATAAAATAAGTTCAGAGGGATTGGGCCTTTTATTTGCTAGGACTGCATAACAAAACATCAGATACTGGTGGCTTAGGACAACAAAAACTTACTTTGTCAGAATTCTAGAGCTCGGAAGGTCAAAACCAAGGTGTAGAGGGACAGGTACCCTAAAGGTTGGGGGGATCTTCCCCTGTTGCTATCCGGTTCTGGTGGTTGCTGGCAATCTTCCATGTTCCTTTGGACTTGTAGATCCATCACCTCAGCCCCTGCCTTTCTGTTAATCATGCTCGATTAGGGCTCATTCCAGGAACCTCATTTTTAATTTGATTACCTTTGTAAAGGCTCCATCCAAGTAAGTCCACATTCTGAAGTATCAGGAGTTAGAATTCCCCCTTTGTGTGTGTGTGGTAGGGGCAAAATTCAAGCTCTGACATTTTTGTTAATCTTCGTACCTTGAGTTGGAAACAGAATTCTGCAACTTAGTGCCGCTTTCTTGGTTTTGGGATCAGCTGACAGGGCTTCTGATCTGTGCAGAGGCAGGATAAGGTGGGAAACAAAGCATTCTGCTGTGTTTCGTTTCTTTGCTGTTTGATGGGACTTGGTGATCTCTGTGATCCGCAGTCGTAACCTGTTTGCAGGACATAGTGTTCCCATCCCTTGTGTAGCACTGGTGCGTGTCTGTGACATCTTTATTCCTTTTTATCCCCTATTACTCCCCCCCCCTTGCTTCCCTCTCCCTCTAACTCTTGAGCCCCTTCCCATTTGGGAAAGAACTGTTTCCCCACTTCCTATTACATTTCCTTTTGCTCTTATTTTTATTTATAATTTGGGGTTCTCATATAAGAGAAACCGTTCACTGTTTAAGCTTGTGTATCTGATTTATTTCACTCAACATTGTGGTCTCAAGGCCCATCCATTTTCCTACAAATGACTCATTTATTTTTCTTTATGACAGACTCTAGTGCTCCATTGTGCATAAATACCACATATTGTTTACCTTTCATCTCTTGATGGATGTGTAAGCTTCTTCCAAGATTTAGCTGTTCCAAACTGTGCCTGTGTAAACATGAATGTGCATGTATCACTGTAACACAAAGGCTTTAACTCTTTTAGGGAAGTACCTTATTGGGGACATGAGGCATAAGCTTCTCCCTGGGATTTATAACAGAGAGAGCAAGCAAGCATGAGTTTGACACAGAGAGTAGCATTAAGCAGGGAATTTGTAGTCATCCAAGTTAACCTTTCTCAAAGAAAACAGCCCTTCTCTGGGAAGCAGCAACAATCGTTAGGGTACCTTGCTCAAGAACAATAGACATTAGTCACAGCCTGATAATTCTGTGTGTTTCCCGTGAGAACGCAAATGAATTACCCACATTGGGGCGGTCTGATGGATGTTCTGTAACACAAAGGGAGGCTCGAAGGCAGCCTCAAAGCTGGTGAACCCACTGACAGTGGCAGGGGTAGCAGAGGGGGTTGAACTATGGGGCTGGGACTAGAACTGTTCTCACTGTGCTTGCACTGGGGATGTGTGTTGTGCAGGCATCAGCTAGAGACGCCAGGACATTATTCTCATCTGGCTGCATTCTATGAAGACAAGAAAGGGGTGCTCCATGGGGGACCCGGGAGAGGCAGCAGCCTTCCCCCTGTCTACTGGCTGCCTTCCATCCACCGCTACATGTATCCCGAGATGAAGGTGAGATCCGCCGTCCCCTTCCACAGTGCTGGCCTTGTGTCTGGAACAGTAGTTGTACATTATGTTTCCATTGATAAGAGATTTCTGTCTGGTGCTCTTTCGCAAAGCTTGCTGCTGATTGGATTGCATCTTAACATAAGCATTTGGGTTTACTTAAATCCTAAACCTAAGGTGAGTTGCCATAAGCAGTTTGCCTGCTAGATACTTCTGTAATCATAATGCCAAGCCATATATCACAGGCAGGCCAGTCATGCTGGACTTCTAGAAAAGCACAGATGGATTTGATTCTGTTGATTGTTTCAGTATTGTACATCCAGACATTTGAGCTAGAATGGAAGGATTTGATGAACAGGTATGATACTTCTTAGTTACAGCATTTTGACTGGTCATAAAATATTTCAGTGAAAGCTTAGGGCTGGCCTGGGAGAGAAATTATGCATGAGTCTAAGGGAGAAAGCATCGTGAAAGAGAATTTAGTTGGTCCCTGAAGCTTGTATTTGGCTCAGTGGAAAGTGAGGGATGCTGATTCCTGACTGAGGGAAGACTTGCAGTAATGAAAGCCATAGTCTACTGTTTTCTGAGAGCCTTCCCTGAGGGAGGCATTATGCTATTTCTTTATCTATGCCCATTACTGTACTCTTGAATTTTTTGGTATTCTTTATTTTTCAGCTAAAGCAGTGGAGGCTTCTAAAGGCTCACTGACTTGCTTCAAGCCATACAGCAGTAGGAGATAGAGTCAGGATTTAAATACCAGATAGGGATCAAACCCAGTGCTCTTAGCTCCCTACCCTACTTCACTGTCTTTGCAGAGATGTGGACAAAGGAAAGCACAAGACACATTCATGAGTCATGAGTGAATGTGTTTAAGGTTACATTTTCAGGCTACCTGGCTATAAGAGTCAAGCCTGGGAAAATAGGTTGGTATCAAATTGTAGAGAACCTTAAATACTAGACCACAGAATTTGAACCCTAGTAAGTAACAATTAGAGTCCTATCAGGAAAACAGAGACCATTTTACATATTTCAAAACAATTCAATATAGAGAATCAGTAATAGAGGATTTATAAGACCAAAGAAGCAAATGGGGATAAGTGTGCCACCCTGTATTAGACATAACAAATCACACCAAGATTGCAAGCTTGAAACCACCCATATTTATTATCTCACAGGTTCTGTGAGCCAGGAGTCCAGGTTTGGCTCAGATGGGTCCTCTTTGTGATCTCTCATCTGACTGCAGTCAAGGTTGAGACCTCACGAGAAGGCTCAGCCAGAGAAGTATTTACTTCTAAGTTCATTGGCAGGGTTAGATTAAAAGAAGGCCTCAGCACCCCACTGCTGGTTGGAGACCGCCTCAGTTCTTGGCCATATGGGGGAGGAGTCTCTAATTTGGCAGCTTTGCTTCATCAAAACCAACAAGAAAGCCAAAGCTGCGAACTAGATGAAAATCATAATTTTTCGTGACCTTATCTAGGGGGAATAGTGCCTATGTAGCTATATTATCTTGGTTAGAAGCAGGTTACTCAAGAGGCAAGGGAAGGGCATGAGGTTGTAATGGGTAGATCACTGGAGCTGTCTTCAAAGCCTCCTGCCACACCCAGAGCCAGGATGGAGAGGAGGAGTCATCACTACCATGGGAGAACTCTGCCAGTGCAAGCTTGAATCCCTGGAGAGGCACAGGCCTGCTGATGGTGGTGCCTTTTGGGCATGGGGTCAGCTTGTGCTGAGAGGGCTGAGAAAAACCGTAGGTGGAGCCAGGAATCCTTTCCTGTTGGAGCAGTACCAATGGAGGTAGAGACTAAGGAGAACTCCTCCCTTTCTCCTGCCTTTCAGCTTGCAGCCACTGACTTCCATTAGAAGAACTAAACAGGCAGCCAATTGGCACAGGAGTCCAGGAAATGTAGTCTGCAGGTTTCTCAACACCCTGGTATTGACTAAGAGATGATAAATGATCAGAGCATGATCCAGGGCTTGTATTGATCTGAAAGTTGCTTTGATCTGTGTCTCACTCATTATTCTGAGCAAAATTGCTTCTGGACTGTCTCCAAATCCAGAGAGAGGTGACCGGTGTCTGACCAAATGTTTCTGGATTCCTTACTCCTAGAGGCCAGGAAGGAGGATCAAAAAGAGCAAAAGGAAAATTGCCATATGCTCTTGCTCTATTGAGGGTAGCTCGTTAACGTACTTGTGAAATACTAGGAGATGCAGAGGAAAAGGTACTTGTATAGGTTATACATACAAATATGTATGGGATTTATGAAAAGCAGTATGCCAACATAATAAAATGAAAAGGACATGTTCTTTTATTTCAGGGACCTCACTCCTTGAGATCTGGCCTATCTATAAAACCACCAGAGTGATGTGTATGTAAGAATATTTAATTCCATATCATTCAGAGAGGCAGAAAACTTAAGATGTCCATAGAGCAAGTAGCCATTGTGAATAATGCATTAGGGCATAAGAAATTGACTGGGAAGTTCTGGCAGGTCACACAGAAAGTTAGATGACATGATCACACTTCGTTTATTTATATGTTTATTTCTGGTATCTGAGATGGAACTCATGACCTGGCCTATTAGGTGGAGGTTTAAGCCACTGAGATAAATGCCCAGCCCATGATCACACTTTAATAATCACAGTCTCAGATGCAGGTAGCCCACATGTGTGAATAAACATGGAGAAACAAGAAGGGATGTGCATTAGGTTACGCATGCACATGTGGCCTGAGGGTGTGATAAAGTGTGGAGTAGTGGGGAGGGCTATGCTTCTTTTATGCAGAAGGAAGGGGCCAGAGGAACGTCACAGCTGCCAGAGCCACCTGCACTGCTGGCAGCTTACAGGAAGTGGCATATTCCTTCCTAAGCTCCAGGCCTGTGTTTGTGCTGGTCTCTTCCAGAACACTGTCCACAGGTTCTTGCTTTATGTTGAAGCTCAGAAGTCCAGGAAGTATGTGTCTTTCTCAGATGGAGTCAGCACCCTCCTGTCCCACAGTGCCTGTGCTTCCCTGTGCTCTCACCAGGCTTGATTCTAATTGCTTATTCTGTCTCTCCAAACTTACAGCTATGTGACCACAGGGACTGGGTGTTTTGTCTTCCTTGTTTGAACTACAGTACCTGGTGCTTTGCCATAAAGTAAACACTTAAGAGAGGTACTTTTTGAATGAGTTTGTATATTTTAGTCACTTTACCCTCTCTGGGACAAAATACCTGATAAGACCCACAAAACAGAGAAGAGGTTTATTTGTGCTCACAGTTCCATGGATTTAGTCCATGGTGGCTGACTCCAGGGCAGAATGTGAAAGGGCCTGGCAGAGGAAGCCTGCCCTCCTCATATCATCCAAGGAGCAGGAAAGGGCTAAGGAGTGAGGTTACCTTCCAGAGTCACATCCACGAAGACAGAGCTCTTCTAAATGACCCCATTTGGCTATAAACACACATTTAGCAGCCCTTACGTGAATCAGTCCACTGATGCATATAGTGCCCCGTGATCTAATCACCCTTTCCAGCGTACTACTCTGAACAGGAGATTTAAGGGGACATTTTAGCTCTTAACACAGCGGGACACATGCATCCATGAATGAACCTCTCAGTGAGGTCACAGCTGATTAAGGATCAGTCAGTTGGGCTTGGATGTTTAAGCCCAGGACACTCTGGAACCGACCCTCCCAGCCTTCCCCAGTGGAACACATGTTAGGGGCTGGTAGATCACTCAGGGAGACATGGAAGAATGGGCTGCGCTCTGGCTCCTTCCTATCCAGTTCCTTGTTGATTTGATGAAAGATAGCATATGGGGGATCTGACCAGGCTGAACCACTTGTGACTTTCCTCCGGATGATCCGGGATATAGTGAGAGGAATAAGACAAAAGGAAGTTAGACATGTTCAGTGTTGAGTGGCCTTTCTCCAGCACCAGGCTGGTGACTGGCATCAGTGTGGGGTCAGTGCCTTGGAAAGGAAAATGTTCTCTAAGGTGGGCCAGTGCAGCTTCAGGGGGCTCAGGGCAGCCCTGGTCTGGATTGGTGGAGCTCAAAGGCTGCTCCAGGGTTGCAGACCCCCAGACTGCTCCTTTAAACACACCTATGGCCTTAGTATGGCTGCTGCTCTTCAGGACTGTCCTTGCCTGTGTCCCTGGGAGGAGGCGAGCACACTTAGCTTTTGACACTTCAGTGTGGACATGACTTCTGAAATGCTTCCAGGCACCTGGTTTGTCAGTGACATCACCGGTCACCCCGTATGGGCTGTTCTTAGCTGCAAGTATTTACTGTTTTGTCTCATTCTGGCCATAGGTAATGGTCTTCCCAATTTACAGGTGAGGAAAGTGAACTAGAAACCTGAGCTTACTTTCTCTGGGCATCCCTGTTAGTAAATGGCAGGACCAGGATCGGCATTCCTTGAGCATATGCTTTTAACCCCTGGAAGGCAGCTCTGGGGTTGCCAGCCTCTCCGCAATTGGCATTGGCAGGAAGTTGGTTAGAGTCAGGTGTGGCAGGGTCGGGCCCCTGTGGGCCTTCCCTGTCTGTGGTCACTGCGACACCTCACCTCGTGTGCAGAGGTCCCTGTATATGTGGCTAATCCAAGGCTGCTCACTCATCATTGTATTACAGTGCTCTACGACGTGTTGGAAGTGACTTTTCTCGGCAAGGCTTACTGTCTCTTCAGGCATACTTTTAGTTCTAGCTTTCAAAAAGTTAAATTCACCTGTTTCCTCTGCAGCTCTTTCTCCAGAGTAAAGTAGTTAATGATCCTGAAACCCAAACTTCAGAATACCACACATCTTTTGCATCAGAAAAATCCAGTTTAAAGATAAGACTTAAAGTGACCAATGTTTTGTACAACATGGCTTTTAGTGTATCTCTTCGTTTGTACTTGTTTTTTTTTTTTTGTTGCTTATTGATTTTGGGTTTTAGGGGTGGAGGGGTGGAGGGGTAGGTGTTAGTTATGCACACACCTGGACGTTTTTCACAGTGGTATTTCTTTTGTTTTGTTTTGTTGGTGCCAGTCAATGAACTGAGGACCTTGGCTTGCCAGGCAGGCACTGTGTCACTGAGCCTCATCCCCAGCCCCACGGTGGTATTTCTAACAAGCTCTTCCCCTTCCTCCCTCTCCCCATCCCTTCTTGTGTTTTCAGATCACACACCCTGCTGGCTGCATGTCTCAGTTTATCAAGTTCTTTGGAGAGCAGATCCTCATCCTCTGGAAGTTTGCCTTACTCCGGAAGCGTATTTTGATATTTTCTCCCCCACCTGTGGGCGTTGTGTGCTATAGAGGTAAGCAGAAGCTACAATCATGCTCTTCCTAAGTCCCCAGAACAGAGTCTGTCTGCCTGAGTCTCTCCTTCCTCACCAAGTTCGGAAGAATTGGGGTCACATCAAGTGGATCAAGGGTTGAAGGCCAGCAGCAACCTGATTAAGTCTGTACTTTAGACGGTAGAGTCTTGGTGTGTAGGAAGGGGAGAAAGGTGTTGGGGGACCGTTGGTAGCTTGGTGAGAGCCAGGTCAGGATTAAAGCAGAGAAGATGAATTCTGGACACATTTAAAAGGTCAGCTGGTCACACCTTGTGTGCATGGGTTGTGAAGATTGTGAAGTGCGAGGGAATAGTGGGGAAGAGGAGGGTGGCAAGGATGCATGGTGGGGCCGCCAGGATGGGGTTACTAGCGTTGGAAGCACAAAGCAGAGTCCTGCACAGCTCTGTATTAGTCTGCTTCTTGTTTCTGTAATAAAATGCCTGCATCTGAGGGATGCATAAAACAGGAGGTTCATTTGGTTCGTGTTCTGAAAATCCAAGAGAATGATGCCGGACTCCGCTCAGCTTCTGGCAAGGTCTTTGTGGAGGAAGAGCAGAAGCAGGCACATGTAGGAGAGGGAGGAAGCACCGGGTTGCTCTAGAGCACGCTGTCGTGGAGATGGCTGATTCTCTGTCCTGGGCACCGCTTTTATCCCTTTGTGGAGCCTCACGATCTGAGTCCCCTGTAAAGGCTCCACTGCCTTTATACATGGAGCTACTCCTCAACACAGGCTTTAGGGTGGACAGGCCATGCTCAAACCAAAGCAGCTGCTTTGTAGGCCAGCAGCATGGGAGAAGTGCCAACTGGCGGCCCTGCCCTCCCCTCCTCGTTCCCCACAGTGTACTGCTGCTGCTGCCTGGCCAACGTCTCGCTGCCTGGCATCGGGGGCACTATCCCTGAGTCCAAGCCCTTCTTCTATGTGAACGTGGCTGACATAGAGAGCCTGGAGGTAGAAGTGTCCTATGTGGCCTGTGAGTATGGGGCCCTCCGTCCACCTGTCCTCATGTTCAAGCCCTTGTCCCAGACCTGGGCTCCTGACCTCCTTGTCCTCATGGGGTCCGGCTGGCCCCTCAGTGACCCCTCAGGCTTCTTAACCCCGGGTTCCACAGGCACTACAGAGAAGATATTTGAGGAGAAGCGGGAGCTGTACGACGTCTACGTGGATAACCAGAATGTGAAGACTCACCACGACCACCTGCAGCCCCTGCTGAAGATCAACAGTGCCGACAGGGAGAAGTACAGGCGGCTCAACGAGCAGAGGTGAGGGCCACGTGGGCACAGCCGGGGCTCGGGCTGCTCACTCTTCCTAGGCTGCCCTCGGTATCTCCTTGATGCCTGTCCTGTTGCCGCCCCTCTCCTCATGGTGCTTTCCTGTGGTGCATTCGTCAGCTGGGAGATAGGAACAAGCAATGCCAGGCTCCCTGCACAGGCCCAAAGGATGGAGGGAGGTGCACATGCACCATCCCTTTCTGCCAGGCTTAAGAGTCTGGAGCTCAGAGAAGAGGAACCTCTAGGTCAGAAGTTGCGGAGTTGCCTCTAGGCCTTGGGTGTAATGCGTGCATGTGTTTGTGCCCTCCTGTGTGTGCATTATATCAGTTGTTCACCTGGCATCGGCACTGTGTGGGTCACTGCCTTAGGAACCCCCTTCTGCGTTACATTACCTGGTAATTCTTGGTAGTCTGGCTGACTTGTGAGATGACCAGTACCATTAGCCTGTCAGTGGACAGTGAAGGAAGATGGTAGCTTGCTGAGGTTCCCAGGAGTAAAACTGGCCATGAACTCCGGGTTTTGAACTCACTTGTGCCCTTTCATTTCTTTGCTGGCTCCTCTCTCCCTGCCTCGCCCTGGCCAGGGTCTGGGGTGTGATGCTGTTTCTGGTGAGGTGCAGCCCATCACACTGTACCTGTGTCCTGTAGCCTTACCACATCTGATGGTGATTTTGTTCCCTGCAGGCAGATGTTGCTGTACTCCCAGGAGCTGGAAGAAGACTACAACCCTTGTGAGGAGGACCTCTTTGTGCTGTGAGTCAGCTGTCACAGGGACAACTGCTTTGGATGGCCCACGTCCCTCTGATGTCACCTCCCACAGTTCAGGGATGGCCTTTTTTTCTTTTTTACTTCCCTGCAATACTGGGGATCGAACCCGGGTCCCCAGCCCTTCTTGTATTTTTTGAGAGAGGGTTGTGCTAAGTTGCTCAGGCTGAGCTTGAACTTGCCAGCCTTTTACCGAGTGCCATATTACAGGCGGTGCCACTTTGCCGAGGTAGGGATGTCCTTTGTTGCTACCAAAAGCTGGGCTCCTTGTAGAGGCAACCTGAGCCCTAGGAGGCCAGTGGAGAGGACCCAGAGGAGTCTGGAAAAGAGGCAGAAGCAGATCACTGAGAGAAGACACAAGCCCAGTGTGTTGAGAATGCCTACCACATTGCTCTGTCGGTTCTTCGGGGATGTCTCAACATTGCTTCCTCCAAATCAAACCATTCCTTGCCCTAAATATTATGGGACAGTCTTAAGAAGTTGAATCACTCACCCAGATCTGTTGGTGGTCAGAGCATGGTGCTGGGCCTTTGCATCTCTCCAATCATTCATAAGCAGTCACATGAAACTGTTCTGTGTACACACAGAGTTGTAACTGAAACAGAAGCCAGGCTCCCAGGCTCCAGTCTGGTCTTCCTGCCCTCTGTGCTGGGATGGCTTGGTGACACTTGCACTAGGGATTATTCCTGGCTTAATGGGAACCCACTGTGGACATGTCCTAGTTCTCACAGCGTCCTGTCTCATGCACACACACACAGATGTCCAGGAACAGTGCAGAGCCACAGTCTTGCCACAAGTTGACACACCATGCACCTGACATCCTGAGCGTCCAGATCTCTGCCCTTCCCCAAATCTCTGACGGCATAGCTTCGACATCACATGCCTGTCCCTCAGTTCTTTGGAGCTGTGACTTTAAAACCTTGCTGTGTGTACAACACTGCCAGCCTCCAGTCGACAGAGAATGGACACCCAGCAACATAGTTGGCTCTGCTGTCTCAGTGGCCACTGCTGGACTCCTTTCTCCTTTACCTCACCTCCCAGCACTGCTGGCTTCAGCACCGCCTGTGGCTACCTCAGTCTGCCGAGCACTCCCTTCTGTGTGGACAGCGTCAGCCCTGTGCCATCTGCAGTGGCCTGGGAGCAGGGCAGAGCCCCGGTTCTCTGGGGAGGCTCCTGCCTGGCTTTGAGAGAGGTGCATTTCGGTTTCCCACCTGACCTCCGACAACATTACCAGGCTCTGTAACTTCATCCTCCCTGATGATTGAGCAAAAGGGAAGGAAACCACCAGTATGTAGAGCCCTCTCCCTAAAACTGTGTTCAGACCACAAGGAAGCTACTGCTTACAGGAAAACCACCTGCTAGCAGTTAGGTCATCACATGCAAGAGGTTTCTCCAGTCAGTTTGTGTGCCAGATGGCTTCTGTGCTAACCTTAGTACCATTGTAATAACTGCGTAACTTTGACCATTTTATTTCTTTCAAAGTTTTTGATTTATCTTTGAGGCCCCTCAAAAAAAAAAAAAAAAAAAAAAAACTAAACCAGGCATTGTAGCACATCCTTGTAATCCCATGGCTCTTGGGGACTGAGGAAGGAGGATTTCAAGTTTGAGCCCAGCCTGGGCAGCTTCTGTGAAATCCTGTCTGAGAGAGAGGGAAGGAGGGAGGTTAGTCTGGGGATGTAGCTAGGAAATATGGAGATAGGTCTCTTGCAAATGAAAAGGGGACCAGGAGATGGAAGGGAAAGGGAAGTAAAAGTAATTAAGATGTGTTGTGTACACATACCAACTCCCCATGATGAATATAATCATTATGTAGTATAAACACATACTAGTCAGATTTTTTTTTTTTTTTTTGAGAAGGCCTTGGGTTCAATTCCAGTTATGAGAAAAGAAAAGCAGGTCCTGTGTAGATTGGGTGTCCCCAGTGTGGATTATCTGATGAGCTCTTTGTCTTTCCTTCCCTCCTTCTCTGTGTTGCATTTACAGGTTTTTTCTAGAGCAGAACAACCGGATATTTCAGACTTTGTTGGAGGTGTCTGCCAGTCAGGACAAAACTCTGACAGCAGAGCATGCCCGAGGCATGGGCCTGGACCCGCAGGGGGACCGGAGCTTTCTCATGGACCTGCTGGAGGCCTACGGGATCGACGTCATGCTGGTCATTGACAACCCGTGTTGCCCATAGGAAGAGTGGCGCGGGATTGGTGAGCCACACACGTAGGATGACAGCAGCCTGAGTGCACCCCAGGCCCCGTCAGCCTGGTTTTTAATTAAGCTGACACAAAGGAAGATTGTGTATACTTTCCAACAACTGTGATTTTCACAATTTCCTTTCTTCCCTTCATGTCTAGAGGCTAGATGGCCTTGGTTTTGCAGCCTGCTTTGGTAGCAGATGGGAATCTATAGTCTCCCAGAATGGCTGGTCTTCAGATTTGGTCTTGGAAGATCTGTCCCTAGGAGTGAGCCAGGCTCTGGAAACTTTGGGGTGGACCACCAGAAAGTCTGTCTTTGTCCCTTGGTGCATTCAGGAATACAACAAGCATCTGTCCTGTGTGGCCTTAAACATTCATCTGCCCAAAGGCAGAAACTAGTTCAGATGGCCTTTCAAGGTCATCGAGTTCCAGGAGTCCATAGTCATGGGATCAAACCCCTCTTCCTGTTGTTCACATCTCTTCTGTTCACTCGAGAAGGGACCAATGAGAGAGATCAAATGGTGTTTCTTACACAACTGTGAGATTCTCAAAGGCAGTGAATGGTGGCCATCTGATGTAACACTCGTCCTGTGACTCCCGTGTGCAAGGAAATTCATTGTACAGTTTAGTGGCCTGGTATCTGTCAAATGTGGTGCAGTGGATGCACTAGCTGCCGCAGAACCGAATTTCTCCACTTGGATGAGGATTCCCTGGAAGGACTGACAACAGCCCCCTTGGATCAGAGAGATCCATTGGACTGGGAAGTCGCAGGATCTGCTTGAGCTGGTGGACTCGTAGGTTGGAGCACGCAGTGTTAACGGGGCTGTTTACCCTGCACAGCCCTCACATGCAGCAAAGGTGACATTCCTTAGGTTCATAGTTGGGTCCCGACCTAACCAATTTGTTAGCAAGTTTGGCAGTGCCTTCCCCCAGGAGAGTGGTCAAGAAGTTGTGAGTGCACACAATATTCTTACCTGCTTTCCAGGGAAATGTTTGCTGTCTGGGACGGGTCCCGTATTTGCCCAGCTGTTCTCTTGAGCTGGCTTATTCGATGACTACAAGATTAGATCAGAGAGCAGTTGGTAACCATAGTCTGAAAGCCATCTCCTGTGAGTAGAATTTGGAATTTGACTTGGAATCTTGGGTTATTAGTAACAAATAATCTCTTCTCGTCTTTGCTACGTGGCTCTCGTTATTGAGCCATCTTGTCTTGAGTAGCTATCAGTGTGCTCATCGTCTGTGCCCAAGCCAGGCTTACTGTACAGCAGAGAAAATAACCTTCAAATGAATGGGTCATGTCTTCCTTGACCTGTTTCATGTTCTTAGCTCAAAAGTGTTTTCACTGTAGCTCCTTGGTACAGAATTCAAGAGCGAAGAAATTCGTGTGTACAGAAATGCAGAGAGACACTGATTAAGCAGGGTAGCACCTTCTATGTAGACACATAAATAATTTTGAGTGTTGGAAGGTAAACTGTACAACTAATACATTTATTCTGTGCAGTGTGGGTTTAGCTATCATTTCAGTAACATGTTTACAAAGGAAAACACATTTGTATTTAGCAGTAAAGTTTCACTTTTTTTCCCTTTCTGGGCAGCTGTGCCTCCTGCCCTCACAAGGCTGAGAATGACTGGCTCAGTTAGGTCAGGACTTGTAGTGGCGTCTGGGTTTGGGGTTTTCTGGTTTGGAGGTGGGTGGCTGGAGACAGGGATAGGGGTGAAAGGAAGGGCCTGATTGTCCTGGGTCCCAGGCAGACTCTCTAGATCCAGGAGGTTTGCTAGGAGGATCCTATTATCAAGCACTTCTGTCCCAGGGCCTTCTGCCTATGAAAACTGCTTCCAGCACTGTTTTGCTGTAAGCTCAGATGTACTGGTGTAACGACAGCAAGAGTACGAAAGTGGTGCCTGGATTTTCCTTTAAATGGCGAGTCAGGGTTTGTGGGTGCCTTTTAACCAGGCACCTCTCTGCCTAGCACCTTCCTGTGTCCCCCATGCGTGTGCAATGTGGATAGCCCCATGGCAGGGCCACATTAGGTCACAGGGCCTGGGCTCAGCTGACTGGGAGCAGAACTTTTCCCTCAGTTCTTCCTGCTTTGCTGGCTTCCTCTGGTACCGGAAGTCAAGTGCAAAGGCTCTGCTTGGCTGGACTACGTGTTAGCTCCGCACCATCCTGTGCTGCTGCCCATCATCTCGAATGTCTGCCTGGGCCGGGAAGCCTCTGGCTTCTGAGGTTGCCCTTTGAAGCCTCATTTGGTACCAGTTCGTATTCCCCACAGCAGATCCAACAGGCATAGACCAGCGTCATTTATTGCCAGTTCCCACAAGGGGCTCATTTGTGAGCAAGAATCTGTCTGCATGACAGCAGAAGCAAAGAGCCACATGGACTCACTTTTTTTTTTGTCATTCTTGAAACATTTATTGAAAAGCCATCTATCTTTGTTGGAAAGAAATGGTGAACATGCTTGACAGCTTGTAGGCCTTTGAGCTGAGCGCGGTATATGGCAGGCATCGTCCTCACTAACAGTGCGTGAGAGCTGGGCTGGGAACCTGTGACGCAGCTCTGCACATGGTGCACAAAGCCCTCATCTGTTCTTGCCTAGGCGTTCTTAGTCCCAGGATGCTGTAACCCTGACTGAGTGCTGTGCTATGAACCACTGCTCATCAGGAACATTGGCAACCTGTGATGCAGGGGCTGCCCACGCATTCCTGAGTTAGAGGAGATTCCCGGTGGCAAGAACCCTGTGGGAACTGGCAGCCAGGCTCTGTCAGTAGCTGTGCTGAATATGATAAAGGCCTGTTAAAGTGGGTGTTTTCAATTGTGTAAGGCTCAGCAGCTAGTAATACTCAACCTCTGGGGCAATAGGCAGTTATTAGCTGGCATAGGACTCTTTCTTCAAGAGTCAGAAATAGTACAGCTTTATCTCCTACCAATCTGAAAAGTATACACCAATGATTGCGTAGCATCATTTGAATATGAAGCCAGCCTTATGCATGGTGTGGACCCACATGGATGTCAGTGTCCCCCTGACTGAATCCTTGGTCAGTTATGAGTCCATGACTTAGAAGGCATCTGCCTCCCAAACCCACCATCCATTCTGGGACCTCTTTTTCCATCTGGCCAGGGAGAGCAGCCCACTTCATTGTCACATGGACAACTGGACAAGGACGGTGATTTAGCCGGGGATTCTAAAATGTGTAGCTTACAGGGTTATAAATCAGAGGAAAATCAAGATGAGAAAAGTAAAAGTAGCATCCAGGTGCAGATGGTGCTGGCTGCCATATGAGATTTGTTTATTGTGTGACTACCTATGGCATTTTAGCTAAAAGATAAAAGGTAAATTAACCCATCGGTGAATCACTGTTCTCATCCTGGTGGCCAGGAGGGTGAACTTGCTATCTGTCTTGATACACTGGAAGCCCTTCCAACACAATAACAAGTGAACTTACTCATTTTCCACTGAGGCCTTCAGGGAACCTTTTGTAAAGGTGATAATGAATTAACCTTTTTGTAGCAGGATATTAACCTCTAGGAAGAGGCAGGGACATTAGGGACTGTGTGTTTCCCTTTGTAACTGCATAGCCGAGGGAATGGACTAAGATGCTCTGTCTGGCGCTGGAGGTAAATGTGGGAGTGGATGGATGAAAACAGTGACCTAGTCCTAGAATGGGGGAAGAATTCAAAATGGGCAAAAAACTAATATGGACCCAACAATCTCCACTGCTTGTATGTCCGTTAAGTTCCAGGCTGGTGAGCTCGGAATCCCAGCTGTCTGGCCTTCCTATGTCCTCTGCATTCCTCAAGTGATGGCCGGGGTGAGAATCCTGAGAGCTACAGGCTCACCTCGCAGGCTCAATCCCATCCCTTCTCATTTCAGGAAAACCTTTTCCAATTCAGGTTGGGGGAGGGAGGAGGGAAGGGCTCCTTTTACCCCCAAGTCATGGACTTTTAATACCCCTGCTAATATACCTCTGTTCCCAGGACCTACTAGAGCACCAAGTGTGATGGGAAAAGACTGTGAATTAAGTTAATGTTTTGTTTGTTTGTTTATTTTAGAATGGAAGTTTATTTTTATATCAATGTTATTATGAACTGAGTATGGAGATGTTAGAATGGGAGGAAATTTCAACAGTTATTATAGGACTATAATCCTAGAAGAAATGGGCAGTTTTGTAATTTAGTAGTGGTTGAGGCCCTTACAAGCTTGACTATGTAAATGTTTCCAAGATTAAGGACATTGACCTATGTGATTTTTGTCACAGCACTCCCAGACATAAACAGGACGGCCCAAGAAGGAAGACACAAACACCCAGCCTTAGGAAATGTCTAGGACAGAAATTCTGTTTATCAGGACCTCAGTCAGCTGGAGAGAGGCAGAAATCAATCAGAGGTCCTTTAACTGGCACTTTAATTCATTTTACAAGTTGGAATTTAGAAATAGCTGCAATGTGGAAAGGGAAGAAGAATTTTTTGGTATTATACAGAAGTGAAGATGGATAAATCCCTGCTTCTACCTTTTTAGAATTTATTCTAGAATGTCAGTATAACATGGGGTTTTAGAGGTAGCGTGACTTAAACTCAGAAGGTTTATTTAATACTATGGTAGATGGGTGTGACTTCTGTTTACTCTAGAAGCCTGCATAGACTAATGAGGCACTGACCTTGCTTTCTAAGGACAGTCAGGGTAGAGGGGTATGATCGGGCATTATAAATTGGCCAGAGATGATGCAATAAATGAAAAATCCACCCAGAGGTAATTGAATTAGCTGACTGCAAGTAGATTTGACATTAGAATGAGAACTTTCACTGGGTAAATCAAGCAAAGATAAAGTACCAAAAAAGTTTTAAGGTGGCATTGAGGGGGGATTCAGGTCTGGGATGCCTGTCACGGCCCCAGTGGGACAAGCTCCAGATGCTGTGCTTCTGAACAGATTGGCTGGAACTCAGGGGCTCAGAGCAGGCACAAAGTGGATGTCCTTTATTTACCCAAAGCTTGTTGACTAATTTCCTTTTTTATAGAAGTAGGGGATATAAACCTTTCCAGAAAAAGAAGTCATGGTAACCTTAGCAAACGTATTTTCCTGGTTTTTCCAATTTAAGATCAGTATAGCTTCTCTGTTGCCTTAAATGTAAAAACCCTATTTTGAGTAATACCCAAGCCTAAGAATTGTAGCAATAAGAGAAACTGAATCTACTTTTGTTTCAAGTTTTTACTTCATGTGATGAAATCAGAAAGATGCTTCCTAAGTTTCACCCTGGATACTACCGCAGACAGGTGTGTGGTTCTGTGTTCAGTGGTGACGTAAGTTAAAGGCCGGGGACTTTAACTAATGAGACTAAATGTTTCTCGCCCTGATCTTGCTCTGTGGTACAGTTAGTATCTCTGTATATCATACCTGTATATATCTGAACTAAGTTGTGTGCAGAGGTTGATATATTTCCAGGAAACAATTTTTACGATTAAAGTTCACATTTTAACATGAACCTGTGTGCTGTGACCCTTGGCCTGGCCTGAGAATGTGGGCTGGGGTAGGAAGGCTTCGTGGCCAGAGCCCAGGACTGGGTGGTGCTTTCCTGTACAGACCAGGGAGCAGCTGCTTACCCTTCTGGAGTCTGCAGTCTGGAAAATTCTCCAGGTACCAGAAGCCAAAATGGAGAATGCACACCATCAGAAGAGCCAGGACTGTGCACCCTCAGTCACACTGGACAACTTCCAGAAAAAGCCCTTTTGTTTCACCACGTCTCTGACCAAGTTTATATGGAGTAAATATGTGTGTGCATATGTAGTCAAAACTTTCTGTTTCTCAACTGCTGAGTTATTTGAGCCAACTTAGAATCAACTGCTACCACTGTCGGCTGTCAAACCAGATATTTGGTGTACAAGGCCAAGTTCCTCTGAGGTGTGTGACCGTGTATTTCCTGAGTGGGCACTTGTGAGAACTGACGTGACTACTACACGTGTAAAACACCGTATGCAGTACAGTGATCGTAATTGGAGCAAAGGAAATCATTTTCTGTTTAACTTTTACAGAAAGTACTTTAGTAGAAATAATCTCAGCATTTGAGTGAAATTAATCTGCCAAAAACCATTTGTACTGAAGAAGGGGAGACCCAGTTCCCCTGTGCACAGCTCAGCCTGCAGCATGGCTGGCAAGCTGGCTCCTGTGTGGATGGTGTGGAAGGACAGAGCAGGAGTCAGTGGGGAAACCAAGTCCACACAGGAAGTAATCTGAGGCAAAACAAATTGAAACAAGGCACACTTACATTTAAGGTGAGCAAAACTGTTAGTATGGATTTAAGTGTTTCCTGGACCTGTACCTCATTTTGGTTAGAATCTCTAGGAACACACAGTGTCTCTGGCAAGGAGACAGATTCTGTACTGGCCCTCCTTGCAGGGAGGGAACCACAATTTGTGATTTGTTTTTTTTTTTTTTTTAAAGGAAAGCATCCTTCCCTCCATGAGGGGCAGGGGCTGCTAAGTGATCATTTTACTGATATCGGACTCTGTTTGCCAAAACAGTTTTTAATGGTAACTCCAAGCATACAGTGCTAAATAGGTAAGCCTTATGTTTAGTAATGTTCACGAATGGGCTTTTTGTAGTTGCTACATAACCCACTAAAACACTGGTCTTCAGCAGAGAACACCAGGGTTTATGTTCCCTGTCTTTAAAATGATCTTCCGGAGGAGAGCCTGTGACTAAGATCTACTAGCTCTTCTCACTTTGCCCTTGCTCTGGCTCCTACAATGCACGGCTTTCCAGTGGAGGAGGACCTCAGAGGAAAATGCCAGCAGTGGTATTACAAGTAAATGATGCTGATGATGGGGTAACAGACCCTTGGTAATGGGAGATCTAATCAAGCTCTTCTGATGACAGAACACTGCACTTTTTGCCATGTAATTTAAAAGGAATTCAGAGAAGTATGTGACATTGTTTAGGATGCTTTCTCTTCCCATTTAGTGCTCACAACAAAAGGAATGTAATCAGTGTTGAATTCCCATCTCAGCTGTAACATTTATATATTGAGTAAATGAAGTAGGATAAGCATACATGTTTTTAATTATCAAAATTAATACTGCTTTTATCAATTACATATAGTTTTTAAAAACTAAAAAATTGATTACATTTTAGTACGATTCTTGCTGAAAGCAGTGTGGAAGTACACTAATGGGGGAAAAACAACTTGAAGTTTTGGACTACTAAAGAATTTGTTTTTATGAATGAGGAGTGTCAAATTTCTGTGGGGGTTAAATTATACTGGATGTTTAGAAGAGTGATGTAACAGTTTATTTTGAAACATCAATATTTACACAATTCTAGAAAGTACATACTTTGGCAACTATTTAACTTCCAATGAAAGATGTGGACATAGATGTGAAGGGACACCTGATTTTTTCCTAATACTTCTGGGGAATACATGGGCAGAAGCATTTGTGGAGCACTGCTTTAACACACTTAGGGACCCTTGTCCCCAGGGGACTCCCTGAGAGGCCTGGGCCCCATGGCAGGTGGAGCAGTTTGGTGTGGGCCCCAAGTTTTCAATATGCATTGTACCCAGCGGATTCTCATGCACACCAACAGTGAAAAAGCACTGGTTTAAAAAAAAATTAGCACTTGACAATAGTTCAGCGATGGTTGAAGAAAACAACCCCATTTGCTGTTGGATAGAGAACAAAACTGGAATGAGAGCTAGATAAGCACTGGAACTGAGCAGCAGCACTCGGGAAGGAGTGCCCGCAGGGCAGAGCAGCCTAGGGAGGAGCTAGGACGGTCACAGTGGGGATGGGGAGCTTAGGCAGGCCCAAGACCCTGCTCTCCACTACGGAGACAGCAGATTCCTGTCTGAGGAAAGTCACTAGGCGGAGTGGACTGTCACACAGAAATGACAGCATGCACACACGGTATGGGGAGCGGGTAGTTTGCCATGAAAATGCCCTTGGGGTCCTCTGTTCCCTTTTGGTCCCACAGTGGTCTAAAGTGCGGTCTGGGAATGCACTCGCCCCTGTCTGCTCACTGGGTCAGGCTCTGCAGCAGCTGCTCTCGCTTCCGGGGGTCACAGAAGAACTGAAGCTTCCTGGGGAGCAGCTTCACCTCCACAGGCATCGCCTCGTACTCCTCACTGTCGATGCTGAAGGCGCCCCTGCTGCCCTGTAGAGAAGAGGGTGTTCAGGGCTGCTCACTAGGGAAATGCTGCTGGCGCAGAGGGCCATGCTGCTGTCACATGTACTGTGCTAGCTGGAGAAATGTCTAATCCCCACACTGGTGCAAAAGGGCTACTTTGAACCTTCTGTTTCCTCCTAGAGTATTCTGGGACTTGATGAACAAGGTTAAAGTTTTCCAATATTTATTAAAAGGCAGGGATCCTGCCTTATGTTTTAAGGAGTGGCTAAATATGTAATATGTAGTCCTCACCTCTAATCTTTCTCAAATGAAAAGTGACAGAGATGGCTAGTTCTCCTCTGAAAGGTGTTCTGCCTGCTGGCTCCTTCTCATCCTCTAAGACGCACCAAGATTTGTACCTAAAGGGCAGCAGCTTAATTCAGCATATGCCAGTCACTTGGAAACACCTCTTGTTTACCACAGTCCTGTGGAATTTAGTAGCATCACAGGGCAGCTCTTAAGAGGTGACCTGTAATAGCTTTACTTGGGTAACTCCAAACAACTGTAATTCAGGTACTGTTATCTCCGACTTTCATTTTTACTTACATAGATTATTTTTATAGCATGACATTTCACAATATAGAAAAATTCAGTGCCTAACTAAAATCTGGTTCCAAATCCTTTATAAAAATGCATTATTCAACAGCTAGACAATTCTTTATATTTTTTTTTCTTTTGGCTTTTTGACATAGCATCTTGCTACATAGTTCAGGCTGGCCTCAAACTCTCAGTAGTCCTGCCTCAGGATCACAGGCATGCACCACCAGAACAGCTACCTTTGATATTGTTGACATAATGAAAAACTAAGGTCACGTTTCAGGTCTCTGTTATGCAGACCCAGACCTGGCAGAGTGCTTGGCACACAGTCGATTCCTCCACCCACCCACCTCACCTCGGGAAGCAGCAGGCTGCAGCGGCTGGCCTGGAGACACTCGGTGCCTTCAGCGTGCAGCTCGGGGTCTCTCACCTTTCTACTTCTGTCGATACAGGAAAAAGCAAGCTTGGAAACCAGAGGCCACAAGTGTATCAGATCCCAAACTGCAGCAGATTCCCTTCCTCTCACGGGGGCAAATAAGTGTTGAGAGATGCATGGAGATGGGGTCCTACTGATGGTTATTCCTGTAGCGAGCCTTGCCCAACCTGGTGATAGATTCTAGGTTGAGAAGGCCCACTTGCTGTAGACAGTGGTGCAAGAAGACTGTCTCCCACGGCTACTTCACTCTTAGACTTAGTTCCAATTAGAAGGAAAGTAAGCCTTATTTAGTTCTTTTTGTGATTATTACTTGAAGAGAATACTTATAAAGATGAATTAATCTTATTCCCTGATGATCCTCTGTACTCACAGAAGGTCTACTTAGCCAAATGTTTCTTTACCACACAGCTTTGGAGTAACTCTATTAGATACAGACCTGCATGTGTATCCTTTTTGTCCAGTCCTGCTAAATAGAAAAAAGGAAAAAGAGCTAACCCAAGCAGGTCAGTTCATTATTTACCACTGCTTGGTAACAGTGACTCTTCACAAAGGAAATGGTCCCCAGAATTCAGAAAGCAGCTTTACTGTGCTCTAACCAGACAACACACACATGATCCCATTTCCTTTATGAACCAGCTGCTGCTGCTAAGAATCCACACCATAATGACTTCCCATAGCTTAAGGATTGGAATGGGGTTTTCTTCCTGGTTTTGGACATTAGTTTTATAAAGAAGATTTGAAGATTGCTTGCACCGGTTGGGCTCAGCTAAGACTGATTTCTGGACATGAGGAGGAGAGGTAGGCTGTTTCTTTCTTCCCTTTATTCATATATAATATGCAAAGGAAAGGCTGTAGAAGGAGCTATTCTGTGTCCAAAGAATTTGTACCAAAAGTGAGAACACCACAGACTAATGACAGGCTTTGTGCTGCCAGTGCCGACGCAGATAATGATGCAGCCATGGAGACCAGGCCACTGCAGCAGAAATGTCCAAGCCCTAAATGGGCACAAGAGGGAGCCCTGAGACAAAGCACAGAAAACTGGAGCTGAGCAGATTACCAGTTGGCATGGGAACACACCAGCCCCTCAGATGCTCTGAAGACTGCTGGAGGGTTGATAGAATTCCTAGCCAATAAAATTCTGGCAGAGGTAGAAGTTAACAAATCAGGCAGGACTTGGAATGGCCTGTTGTATGGAAAAGGGGGGAAAGCCTGGGAAATGTCCAAGGTGCTCAGTACCATTCCAAGTTTCTCATTAGTGCCCTGGGAATAGGAAAACAAGGTAAACTGACATGAATTGTAAGGGACCTGGTAAAGCACTGCACAGTTTAAAACAGACTTTTCATCTGAGACTAGAAAATTGTACAGATGGTCATATTATTCTGTTTTACAGATGAGGAAAAGATTCAGAGAAGTTAAATGACCTCAGGGATGAAGCCAACGAGTAGCAGAATGAAGCTCTGTGCTCAGCACTTCTTTGCCGAAACTAGAGTGCTTGTCACTATGCCATACTACACTGAATTCTTTAATTTCAGTTGAAAGGAAAAGTCTGCTTTCACATCTGATCCTACCACAATGAACAGGGTAGACCAGCGTAGGAAATGGGCATTACACATAGCAGCTCCATAGAGAAAAAGAAATGCTAAAATTCGCAAACGAGACTGGCCCTCAGTGCACCTCAGTAGACTTACTGGAACACACAAACAGTAGAGTCCAAGATTCCTCTAAACCCCAGTCTGCTTACCCTATGGTTATGAAATCTCCTTTGCTGACAGTGTCAGGTTCGATGCAGATGTTCATAAAGTCTTCTTTGCTCTAAAAAAGTTAAGACACCACCAATGTCAGGACTCAACATTCTGGGTAATATAGCCTATTTTCATACTTAGCATTGGAGGTTCATGTTAAGAAGCTGTAAGTTACATAGGGGAGTTTATTCTAGTGATTTGATACTAAAGGTATTTTTTCACAAAAACTTTAATGTATAATCAAATTTATCTCTGTGGCTTGTTTTGTTTTGTTGAGACACCGTCTCAATTTGCTGTTCAGGCTGGTCTCGAACTCACAGCAATCCTTTTGCTTCAGCCTCCTGAATGCTGGCTTTACAGGTGTGTACCATGACACTTTTTGTTTTCCATTACATAAGCAAAATAAAAGCTCAAGCGTGGGAGGTTTTTGAATTTTGTTACTAATAGTCATAGGTGTTAAAGTCCCTAGGATTCTTTCCTTTCCATAGGCCATGCTTCCTGCCCCTCGGCCTAGCAATTTTCAGTTCTGACTGTATGGCACTGTCATACCAGGCTGCAGTATTGCCTGAGTGGGATGGAGACCCTACTTGCCTGTGTTCCTTCAAAAATGCTCTACATGCCCATTTGGTATGCAGTCAGTTGACAACCAGCAATCCATTTATCCCTGATAATGTTTTTCATTATTGGGGATAATCACAGAAACTCTGGAAGATTTGAGGTACAAGGAAATAGCTTTGAAAACAGACTTGGCTGCTGTACCACTCCTCACAACTCACTATCAGTCTGTAGTACCAACACAAATCTACCCTGCATCCATTGATCCTGAGTCATTTCTATGTTGGCTACTTTTATGGAATGTTCAAATTTTGTAGGTTCAGGATAAGACCCAGGCCCCTGAGTACTGAAAGATTTTGCCTGAGACTCAAAGGTACCGCTGAAGCACACCACCTCTCCACTAGGAGTTGCAAAGTGTGTTGACTGTGATCACTTTGTTCAGAGTTTACCTCCACTTAGCTGCTTAAAGTGCTGGCCACATACCATAAATTCTTTGGTGTTTGGGCTACACAGATGAACAAAATAAAAATGAGTTTCTGTCTACAAAAAAACTCATATGAAAGAAATAAGCCACAATAAAACAGGAGATTCTTGACTATCCTGCAAGATGAGTATACTACAGATACATCAGAGGATATCCGAAAGTGTAATCACAGAAATAGCAAGGAGCATGAGGTGGCACCAAGGACAGTGGCTACACTAGAGAGGACAGGTGGAAAGGTGATATCCAAACAGAATCCTGCAGGCAAAGCAGTAGCGTGTGCATCCAGGGGTGAAGTTCTCAAACCAAGTATCACCAGAGGGCTTATTACCACTTAGATCCCAGTTTCTATCAATTAAAAGTGAAGGACAAAGTCAGACTCTGGCACTATGCTCAGAGGTCCTACTGCAGATCTGTGGTGAAGCCCAAGAATTATTTTGGGTAAGATGCTCCCGATCTTAGGACCATACTTGAAGAACTACTTGTCTAGGGAATGAGCATCCAAGGGAACGGCCCAGGCAGAGGCCTTCAGATGGGAATGCAGCAGACAGGCAGGGAACAGAGCCAAGGAAGTCAGCAAGGCTGGAACAGGAAAACTGGCAAAGACAGCAGAAGGAAGATGGGTATGGTCAGAAGGGCACTGTAGACCACTAGAATGTGGCTTTTACAATGCGTGAAGAGAGCCGGGGCAGGTGCTGTAGAGGGAAATGCTCTGGTTTCATTTTGGTTGGATCACCATCCAGTCCTGGGCTGAGAATTAAACATGCAAGGCAGACAGTGAGTCAGGAAGTAACATGAGGTGTGGCCCGGGGTTCAGCAGATGCAGGAGCGATGGCACAGCTGATGGCAGGAGGCTAATGGCCAAGGAGGGAGGGTGTGAGAGGGAAGGAGAACAGCTCACACAGTGATGAGGAGGAGCTACTGGCCACCAGGCCTAATGTACAGGTAAAGGGGAAGGGGAAAAGCCACTTTTTGAAAGTACTGTAAGGAAAGCAGAGGCACACAGGGGCAGGCAGAGGTCTGGCCCTGTAAGGACCAGAGAGGAATGATTTCAGCAGACTCTAAGCTCTCTGCTGGCTGCTCTACCATAGTGGTGCAAAAACAGCCACACAGCACTGAAATGGACTGGTGAGCCCGTGTTCCAGTAAAAGTTTGCTTACAGTGAAATCTGAATTTCATTTATACTTTCATCTATACTATTTCATCTTTATATTTCATCTATACTATTTCAAGAATAAAGCAATGAAACCTTTCTCTAAATCAGTTATAAGACAATGAAACTTATAGCAGGGCTGAGGGGTGGGGTGTGCATGCTGTAATCCCAGCACTCAGGAGGCTGAGGCAGAGGGACTGCTTAGAGGCCAGCCTGGGCTACAGAGTGAGTTCAAGACCTGCCTGAACTACATAGCAAGATCCTGTCTAAAAAAAAAAAAAAAAGATGACATCTCTCATCATTTCTGTTCAATTCTGCTGAAGTCCTAGCCAGTGTGGTAAGACACAAGATTATAAAGATAAGTATGTGCAAGAAGGAAACAAAACTTGCACTATTTGGAGTTAATGTAACAAAATTTCTAGGAAATCTAGAAGAATCCATAGAAGAATTAAATTACAATGCTGATTCAGCATCAACACCAAAAATCAATTACATGTCCATCTATTTAATTAGACAATGAAACTTTAAGATACAATTCAAAAAACAATCAAAAGATAACCAAGAATATATTGAGCAAAAGACAAAATGCTATACAGAAAACTATAAAACTTCATTGAGAGCTATTGATGAGATAGATATACAGTACCACATTCACATGCCAGAAGTCAATAGTGTAGAAATATCATTTCTCCTCAAGGTGATCTATGGGTACAATGTAACCCAGACCTACATATAAACACTTTATTAGGAATTTAATAAAATAAAAATTCTAAAATATTTATAGAGTCAAAAGAGCCAAGAATAGCCTAAAGAACTTGAAGAACATATATAACCATAATTTAAAAGCACAGTACAAGTATAGAAAAATAAGAAAGAGACAAAAAACATTCACATGTACATAGACAATGTGTGACAGCTGTAGGTGGGAATATTTCCTTTTTAAACAAAAACACTGATGCAGGGGGCTGGGGATTTAGCTCAGCGGCATAAGCACCTGCCTTGCAAGCAGGCGGTTGTGAGTTCGATCCCCGGTACCAGAAAAAAGAAAAAAAAAGAAAAAAAAAAAAAAAACACTGATGCAAACAATTTTTTGACCTAGTTTTTAACAATATACAAAATCCCAACACTCGGGACTGAGACAGGAGGATCACTGTGAGTTTGAGACCAGCATGAGCTATAAAGTGAGTTCAAGGCCAACTTGAACTGCCAAGGGAAACCGTGCCTCAAAAGACAAAAGAGAAGCACATTGCCATAGTAATAAACAAGACTGTATTTAAATAAATGTACCCAATGTAATCAGTCCAACTATTTCATAATTTTGCAATTACAAATACAGAAAACATTTGTACAAAAGATCCTAACTTTCACATACTCCACATTCCCAAAGCTTTATACTCTGAATGTTACTATCTTTAACAATAAGTAAACACTTGGAGCTGTTACATGTCAGCTAAATTGTCTTTGAATATTTTATTGCATCTGCTTTTAATTTCACAAAGAAGTACAGAAAAAAAGAAAATGAATGTGCTGCTACATGTGATAAGCGGCACAGTATGACACACTTTTATAATTTGTCCAAAGATAAAAAGCACTCTGCATCCCAAATATGACTGACCGCAAGCTGCAATATGATCCTGCATTGCTATTCCATCATCAGAGAACAGAACCACGGTAAAAGAACATGAACAAAATGCTGGAAATACATAGACTCCGTATAAACGAAATGTATAGTAGAAATTTATCTTTTTAAAAAAATTCCTTTGCAACAGAATCTATTTTTTTTAATCTTTGCATACTCATTTTCAACAATGTTTTCACAATTCCATTAGGTAAGAAGGTAAGGGCTGCCATGATCGTTTCTGTAACACAGATTCCTACACACAATAAACCACAGGGCACACTTCTACTTTAGGGACTTCGTATATACCTCCAGGCCTCAGTGAGATACCAGGCATTATGATTTCCATTCCCATGAAGAATAATTACCCAGCTCCTCTCCCATCTGTGCCAACACCGAGTGCTATCTGCTTTGTAATCTATGACTATTCAGTAGTTCCTATTTCAATTTGCATTTCCTTAACCCCGAACACTTTCTGTTCCCTCTCCTATAAAATGCAGGTGAAACTCTTAGCTGATAGTGCAGTTACTGAGTAGTATATAAGTTACCCTATGTGAAATTCTTAGAATAGTGCCGAGCAGGTAATAAATGCCGAGCAAACAATCTATTTTTTGAAATCTTAGTTCTTTTGTGAATTTTCTATTTTTATCAATTACTTACTTAAAAACATTAGTTATTTCTTGCTGCCTTACTCTAGGTGAGCTTGAAATCCTAATCTTTTCCCCAGTGTGTTATCAAAAAGTTTATTTACAATATTTTCTTTAGTAAATGACTGTATCAACATAAATTTTGTCTTAGGTTTCATACTTAGAAAGGTCTTGTTCTTTGCACATTTATATTGATAATCACTTAGATTATATTCTATTACTAAATTATTAGTTTAATTTAGCTGGAAGTATTTTAGAAGGTGTAGGACTTACCTTTGCCCAATGTTTTCAACATGTGTTTTGTATTTGGAAAATAATCCAATACTCTAAATATTATTAGATTCACACTTCCTATCACATTCCATGTGCTAGTTTTCTGATCAGTAGGATAATAAACAGACTTCATTTACATAAAAGTTGAATTAGTAACCAGTCTGCAGTTAACAAATGACTTTTCTACTGGCATCCTCGTTAACGTAATTGGTAAGGTTTGCTCTGTATCAGGGTCAGTAAAAATTTTTTCTGAAAATGACCACATTGTAAAGGCAACATCGTCTCTGTCACTATTGCAGCGTCAGAGTAACCACAGATAAAGTTATATGAATGAGCATGACTGTGTTCCAATAAAACTTTATTAATGGACACTGAACCACGAATTTCATAAAATTCTTATGTATCGTAAGATATTGTTCTTCTTTTAACTTCTCACCATTTAATACCAGAAAAATCAATTCTTAAATTATCACTTGTGGGCCACCTGGAAACAACAGGTAGGCCAGTTTCCAACCCCTGCCTTATCTGAAGATACTGGTAGGTGTATGTGTGTGTGTGTGTGTGTGTGTGTGTGTGTGTGTGCACACGCGCGCACGCGCTCTCTGAAGCACCACTATCTGGCAGAATTTTCTGCATGGATGAAAATGTTTTTTATCTGCGCTTTCCAATATGGTAGCTACTAGCTACATATGGCTCTTAAGCATAGGAAACGTAACTAGGGTAACTGAAGAACTGAGTTTTTATTTTAATTGTAACTAACTGAAACTTAAATAGATCTGTGTAACCAGTGGCTACCATACTGGGCAGTGCATGTCTATAGTTTGAATCCAAATAAAATCCTATGTATAGATAACTGGTTATGTGTGTTTCCTGGGGAGCTGAACCTGCATATTTAATATAATCACAGAACAATGAAGATTTACAAAAGAAAAGTTCCACAGTATTTTTATTTCCATGACAAATGATAATAGTCTACCTCTCATTTCTGAAGCGCTCTTGTCCCAAAGCGTCTGAGCGGAACTCTTGCTAAGAGCCCCTGCACTTCTCCTCACTGTTCCTCCTTAGTGGCACACAACGCCCTCTTTCCTGACCCTCTCCTCTCAGTACCCACAGAATAAAAGTAAGAATACCAATTCCGTGCAGAAGAGCATGTGCCTCTATCACCTTCCTCTGACACCCACATTTTCCCAGGAAGCAAGCACACTTACTGTCAGGTCAAGCTGGTTGTTCCGGGTGGTGATGGACAGCTCAATGGTGGACAGCTGTACGTCTTTCCAAACCTCTGGGCTCACCTCCTGGGAGTGGGCTGTGGGAAGCCAGCAGACACAGGTCAGCTTCTTCCAGACATTGAATCCCTACCACCGACCAGTTGCCAGCAGCTCAGCATGGCTGTCCGAGCCTTCTGCCAACTCCATCTTAGCTTTATCCTGTTCATCCTTCTTATACAGAGCGGAAAAGTACCAGGCTCAAACTGGGATCTCTACACTCAAAACACTACTGCTAAAGACAGCTACATAAATGTTAATGACACAGTGGCGGTATGCAGGAGCTACTATGCCCACTCACAAGACATTGTGTGGACTTTGCTCTGGTGGCATCCAGCAGGCTGTATTCAATGATCAAAGAATGGCTGGATTCAATGATCCCAGAATGGCACCAGCCCCCAAAAGTGAGTCCATGGCTGCTGCAGCATTCCAAGCAGGCTTTCCAATAAACAGCAGGCATACTGCTCACCGTCCTGCGGCTGTGCCCAGTACGAGGCCAGCCTGCGGAGGATTCTCCTGTACAGAGAAGGCCGGGGAGGGGTCTCCTCTGGCTTGCTGGGAGGCCTCTCTGTAGGTCCCGTGTACAAGATGGAGGCTTGATGAGTCTGAGGCCACTCCTTTAAACGTGGAGAGAAAACAGTTTTTGTCACTTGCACATAGCTGTTAACTTGGTAGTTTTTCTCTGCAAAGGTTAGTACTCTACCTATTCCTGCTAGAAAGCTACTCACTCTCATTGGAAGGAATTCTAATTCTGAATGCAGAATTCTCAAGCTTTCTTTTCCTCTTCAGCCTCTCCTGAAAACCACGACTCAGTGATTTCTGCCCCGCTGCTCTAACATCCAGCACAGTGGAGATCAAAGTGGACTGACAACCACTGTTCCTGCTTGTTCGAGACAAAAACAGTCTGAACAAGAGTGGAGTCATCTGTTTCCAGAGAGTGACACAAAGATGAAGCTGTTGCACTCCAGCTGCCTCAGTTCCTACCTCACTTCTGGGATCAGGCTCCACATGGAGGCCAAACCGGTTCAGCCACAGCCTGGCCTCATTATATAAATCCAGCCCATTGTTCTCACAGTAAAAATTTTTGGCCTCTATTTCCTGGCATTCCAAGTCCTGAATTGCATCTGTGTCCACAGGAATAATCCAAACCACACTCTGACCTCTCAGTCCTCTAATTCACCACAGCTACCACTTTCATGGGATACTGTGGCTTCACCATGACCCAGAACTCTGCCACCTAAAACCTAACATCTTCCTTTAATTTCACCCCAGGTTCTACTGCTTTATTCTTTTGTATCCTGTCAGTACCTCTGTCAGCATGAACTAGGCACCCGTTGTTTCATTTTCATGGGGTGAATTCAAAAATAGCAACAATTCTAGTTTCTCTCCCTCTAATGCTTCAGGAGGACCAGTACGTGAAGCCAGCCCCTCATTTGCTCCTGCTCGGACAGTAGCTGTCCTCAAGATGGTCTTGCCTCCTCTTGACAGTTAACTTACAGTGATGGTCTCTGCCCTGACTGGCCTATTTTTAGGTGGATAAATTCAATCTGGAGTATTAGAAAATCAGACTGCAATCACATCTAGATGGTATCCTTCACTCCTGCTGACATTTAAAAAGCTGACATTTTCATCTCCATCTGTTTGATTCATGCATGTTTTCATAACTTGGTTCAGATTCAGAAGAGGAAGAGAAGAATGTTATTTTTTGGTCCCGGAAGTTCCTAGCTACACATAGTTCTCAATCACATGGAGAATTCCTGCTAACACTCCATTTTCCCTCAGTACTCAATTAATAGTTACTTAAAAATCACTGTTTTTCCCATTACTTGTGATTTTACTTGTGATTATGTCTTTATTTATTCTTTCATAGCATGTATCCTTCAGAACCCCAAATCTGGAGCCAGGCATAGTGGCACACATTTGTGATCCCAGACATCTGGTGATTGAGGCAGGAAGATCAAGAAGTTCAAGCTCAGCCTAGGCAATTTAGTCTCAGGGAGATCTTATCTCACCATTTAAAAAAATTACCAAAAAGGATGGGTCTGAGGATGTAGTTCAGTGCTTGGTTCAATTCCCATTATCTAAACAACCTCTCAATTCCGGATCAATTTTGTCACTAGGTTTCTGCACTCCTACATCTACCTGAGTTTTTGTTGTTGTGTTGTTTGTTTGTTTTGGCATCGGGAATCAAACTCACAACCTTGCACTTGCCAGGCAGGTACTGAGTCACTGAGCTATGTACCCCTGGCTGGGGCTGAGCATTACTAAAGGGAAAAAAAACCCACGGACTTTTGATAGAGAAGCACACACGAGTGTCACAACAAAGCCTTGGGTCTTGGATCCTCAATGCCACGGCTAACTCTAAGCCTCTTTACCATCACCTTAAAGTTGTCCACGACACTCCCACCCCGGCCACCTCCCTCATTTCGGTGGATGATGGCCTGTTTCACTGAGAAAGTCAGGTAGGACGGTGCAAACACCCTGAACTCTCCACAATCTCGCTTTCATTTGGTCCTATCCTTTACTTGTCCCCTATCACACTGTACCTCTTCCCCTGCCAAGGATAATCCAGGACTCTGGGTCCCATACCCCTTCTGCTCACAGATTTTTGCCAGCTCGGTCATTTGTCTTTCTTTTCACCTCTTTTCTTTTGCTTTAGGGTATAAAGTGATGGGTGGTCCTTCAATTAAAAAAAAAATTATATTCTCTTCAGTTTTGGCCATTTCTATCTCCTCCTCAAAGTAAAGTTTCTGGAAGGAGTAAACAACCTTGTGGTCTTCACTTCTTTACCTCCATTAATTTCTTAACTTTCTCCAGTGTGGCCCCAGCACCCCACCACCACCACCACTCTGGAGGTCACTGAACTTTGGGCAGCTGCCAAATGCCTGCAGATGGCCCTGTCTGTATTTCTACTCCTGGCTGTGCTTCTTGAAATTCTTTTTCTATTGGTTTCTGTTTAGCCCCCCAGCCATCTTTTCTGACTTTCCAAATGTTTAGATTCCTCCATACTGTTTCTTGTCGTGTGCTTTCAACAGTAACCTCACCAAACTTGGTTTCCAACACTATTTACACCCTTATGACATTTAAATCTATCTCTTTCGTCTGCTGGATTCCAGACTGACGACATCACACTTGTATCTTCTTGTGCACACCACAGGTATATTAAATTCACCATGTACTGAAGTAAAAAGTCTCCACTAACTTCATCTTTGGGATTTTTTTCTTTTTTCTTTTTTTTTTTTCTTTTTTTTTGGGGGGGGGGGTACTGGGGATCGAACTCACAACCTTGCACATGCTAGGCAGGTGTTTGTGCTGCTGAGCTAAATCCCCAGGCCCCACTAACTTGATCTTATTCTGATATTATGAACATTTATTGAAAACTAAGGTGCCACACTCTAGTTCCTCAAACCAGAAACCTTCCAGCCTTGAAGGCAGTAACCTCAATAGCTCTTTGACTGACCTCCCATTGTCAATGCTCACTGCTACTGCCCCGGTCTAACCTGCTCACTTAGCCCCATCCCTGCCCCTGGACTGCTGTACCAATTCTCTGTTACTCTTTCCTTTAGCTGTCTATGCACAATCTTTTGTCCACAATGCTGTCAAATGATTTTTCAAAAATGTACATCTGCTCACTATGTTTCTGCTTATAGCTCAAAAACCCCCACTGCCTTAACGATCAAAGTCAGAGCATACATCAAAACCCCCCCAAACCTCAGCCTCTAGCTTCGTTTCCTGCCACTATATTTTGTCAACTGTAACTAATAACCATGGCCCAGCACCGTGACGTCACAAGACTTGTCTTTCAACCCCAAATGCTTTTTCTCTAATCCTCTGTATTTCTAAATTTAGCCTCAGTGTCACCTTCCCTGGGAAGACTTTTGGACCCTTAGCTGGATTTAAGTAGCCAACAAACAGCTGCTTCCTTGTACTTTTCACCAGGCCATGAATGCTTTTGAGGACAGAAAACTGTTATTTGGTTTTGTATCCCAGACCTTGATCAGTAGGTAACTGCCTGATGAATAAATTGTGAAAACAGTTTAGTCTCTGGTACTCTACCACATAAATATAGAGCTACTCTATTTTACTAAATGTATTCACTACTCCAATAAAATTATTCCCTTAAATAATTTTAGCAAAATAAAAAATGTTTTCAGAAATTGTACACAATGAAATGCAGTCCATTTCAGTGTTGAAGCAAGTTGCATGCATCTGCAGTGAGAAATTAAAAAGTATTACAAATCTATCATACAAAAATGACTAACATAGGATAAATTCTGCATTATAAATTGCATTTACCTGAAGAGTGCTGAAAAAGTGGGCTGCTTTGGTTTTGAGAGGCCCAAGATACCAGTACCTGAGAAAGACCAAGATAAAAATCTGATTAAAGTATCAAAAGAGCTATCAATGTGATAGATACTATTTATGACTAAAATATATTACATAGAATTACACCTGCATTATGACTGCTGCTCCAGAGGCTTGGGGATTGTAGCTTAAAATAAATGAGTACTACTGTATTATAGTACATTTTCAATCTGCATTTCAATGCCATGTCCAACAGTATAGAATTAGAAAGTAGAAAGATTCTTGCAGTTCACCAGAGATGTAGAGCCAGTCTCCCTGAGTCCCTACTCAAGTGCAACAGAGACTTTCAATGCAGAAGAGAGTTCACACTCAGTTGAAAGAGCCACGAGGGAAGGAGGACGAGGCCACACTGAGATGCAGATGCCATGCAGTCTGATGTGTTAGAAGCCACACAACTGAATCCTGTCCTCCACATTCTCTCGCAAATGCATATATAACTAACATGCAAACCAGCATACTTTCTCTCACGTGTGTCAGGTTATGCAGCTTTCAACTGGCAAGCATCAAATCCAAGCACAAGGAGGATGGACTGTTATTGTTAAACACAAAAACTACTGGTGAGGCAGAGAATAGATTCCTCTTAAAAACCACCTCTATTACCAACCACTCCATCTTAACTACTACTCATTGATTTTGATTGATATATATTTCTTTAATTCCTACCATATATATGGAGGAAGAAATATAGAGCATATAATTTCAGTCTCTGTGAGCTTTTATGATTTGAGGAAATAAGTCCTCTCTGAAGTAATAGAAAATAAGTGACTATATATGTCATGATAGAAACTGACCACTATTTATTGGTAAGGGCAATAAAGAAGGAAGAAAATGCCATTAATGGTTAAAATCACTGTGGCAGCCATGCTTGTAAAATGATTGGCACAGTAAGACAGGAAGGGCACGGAACTCAAAAGGGCTGGGCATAGGCTGGGCTAGATGAAAGACGGAAGGAAGTCATTTTAGGTGAGAAGAAGTGCAAAGGTATGGGAAACAGCGAGAATAACAGGCAGGAAAATGAGGAATAGCTTCAAAATAAGATACATGACCACATAATTAAGGATGATGACACAGTAAGTTGTGCCTGGAACAATAGAATAAAAAGTTTAGATAAAACCCAACGGCAATGCAGAACCATTCTAAATTATCATTCAGATTAATACTGTGATGCTGTGTGTGTATGCTTATACTTTCCAGTTTGCCAAGTAGAAAAAGTTTCTTTCTTTCTTTTTTTTTAGGCAGTTTATTCCAAAGTGGTCAGCATTTTCTGTCACTCCTGCCAATAGCAAATTTTGACACTACGCTTATAGTTTCCTTATGGCCAACTACAAAATGATTTCTTTTGTGGTTTTTTTTTTACATTTTTTTTTTCTTTTTCTCTTTTTATCAGTACCAGAGATCGAACTCACGACTGCCTGCTTGCAAGGCAGGTGCTTATGCCGCTGAGCTAAATCCCCAGCCCCCTACAAAATGATTTCTTGTAGCCCTTATTTCTTATTTCACACAAAAAAGTGACTCAGTAGTCTTAACTTGCTAGCCAAGGTTTATGGAACAACCATAAGATTCTCAAATCCATTGTTCAGAAATCAACCAAAATATGAGGTAAGTGTGAGACATTTCTGTGCTTGTACTTAATTGTTGACAAACACACTTCGGAAAGCAACTTGGTATTTTTTCAGGGAAAGCGAAGCAGCTCCTCTTGGTATGCTTCTGGAATGAGACTACAGATCAAACACAAGGTAATTTTTGGACTCAATATAATCATGGCAAACTTGCAAATGACAGGATGTGAAATACTGAAGACTGCAGTGTGGAACATAATGCAGTAGTATCTCTCTTTTGACATTCCACTGTCAGGAAGTTCATTAGCAGGAATAATAAGGTGAAACAAGTTCAAGAAATTTCTGGAAAGTCAGGGCAGCAGGCTGGCCTAAAAGTACAAGAGGAGCTTCTTGATGAGAGAGCTGTGTGTGAGGGCAATCGGAATTCAGATAAACTCTACTAAAATTATATGCTCCAGGCGTTGGGAGAGCAAAGAAAAACTACCACTCGCCAGGAATGAAGTAAAGCCCATGTAGTGCCTCCAGCTCGGCCTCAGGAAGCCTTTCTCTGCACCACCTCTCCACATCAGTGGAGCCCCACACACCCTCTTTCCAAGCCAAGAGTTTCATTTTATACAATGGATTATCCAAAAATAAGTCTATTCCCATGCAAGCTAACAATGGCCCTCTAATCAGCCCCCATACAGGCCTGTTCTTTCATCTCACAGCACAGCCAGGCATCCACCTTTCTTCCTTCTCTATAAGAGGCAGCCTGCAGTCACTCAATCTGCAAGCCTTCAAAAAACAGCTCTCAGGAAAGTCTTCCAACTGGGACAGTAAGAGCTCTGTAAGGCTGAAGCCCAGGCGTGTCTTCCGCTTGGTACCCAGGTATGCACACCACCAGATGACAGGCAGTCCAGCAGCCCTTCAGTCTAGCATGAGCCTAAGTTACACCCAAATAGTAGGTCTAAAAGACAAGTGCCCTTCTCTTTAGCTCTCACCAAACTGGGGCAAGGAAGCAGAGCTTCCCCAATCTTTCTACATTTGGGAGAGAAGCCTCTACCTGATTGGTCCTATGCCATTACTCCTGATTCAATCTCCAAGTTACCTAAGTTTGTATTTGTATATTAAACTCTCTAAGGCAGGGTCAGAATAAGTTTTAAAAATGACCACACATCAATATAAGAATCCTTTACTTGCTAACTTTGACGCCCGCATCTCTGAAGGATCCCCATCGAAGGCCAGTCATGGCAAACACGGGCTGCTCCTTTTCACCCTGGAAGTCAAGCACAGTCAGTGGGGATTCATGAGTACAATAACTCGGAACCCTGTGCAGGTAAGCAACAAGCAAGCGTTTATGGCCTACTTCTCACGGAAACAAAATTCTAAAAAATATTTTCCAACATTAAAGAAATTAACCCATATGTGCTCAGTGACAGTATGTGAATAAGCCATACTATAAAATTAAAGTATATATCAGGTTTCATGACTTTACTGGCAAGGGAAACAAATCATACTTTCGACTGTAAATCAAGAACTATTCTGGCCCTTGGGACAATCAGGAGTCAGGTCAGTCAGAAGGCCTTCTCTATCACACACTCAGACAAGGGGAAGAGAAGCCTGCTTTCCCCTCAGAGAGCCAAGAGCTCTCAGGTAAGATAAGAATCCCGAGGCTCTAGAATATACTACTTGGATATCTAAAAACACAGACAAATATGTTACAACAAATCATAGTAAACACCAACTTGGATTTGGCCCACTGTTTTATGGCCAAATATTGCATTCTGAATTATGCAACACTTAGAATAACTATCCAAGAAAGTCAATATTCCTAAGAGCTTATACTCTAAAATGAACCTTTCTTGAAGTACAAATGTTGTATGTACCCACATTCTGGATGAATATTTTTTTGTACCTCAGAATAGCAGCTGAAATCCAAGGGCTAAAAACTATTGAGTGCCACTACACTGTAAAGAGAGCTGCTGCTGGCATGGTGGTGCATGCCTACAATCCCCGGACTCTGGGAGGCTGAGGAAGATCGCAAATTTGAGCCATCCCACGGCAAGTTAAGGAGATCTTGTCTCAAAATATAAAGTAAAAAAGAGCTGGGGATATAACTCAGTGCAAAGGCCCTAAGTTCAATTCTAGTACTGAAAAACAAAAAGGAAAGAAGGGAGGGATGAAAGGAGGCAGAAAGGAAAAAACAAACCTCACTGGCTTCCCCCACAGCATCATCCCACCAGGACCAGTATAAGCAAACATTGGGACCAGAGGGAGAATCCTTGAAGTTGGAAGTTGCTGGCCCAGAGAAAGGATGCTATGTCTTCCCTTTGAAGGAGGGAGGCTTCCTGAAAACCATTTTCAATTCCCTTCCTCTGGCACCAAAATCAAACAAGGAATTCCTGGGGGTTCACACACAAATACAAGAAGCTCACAGGAAAAGACACTGAAGTCTTTTAAAGATGCCCTTTGTTGTGCATCTACTAATGCAGCACATTTGTTTTCTGCTCTTCTATTTCAGCAAGTGAAGAGAGAACTAGGAGAGATGGCAGGCAAAGCGGTGTGGCTGAGACAACCCGCTGTATGGCACGCAAGGGCATATTATTCTCCGGGGGCCAACTGGAAAGTGTGGAAGACAGCAAAGCATGAACCATCTTGACACAGCTCATCTAAGACTGTCCCAGGGCAACAGTTCCCCAGGAGGGAGAGATTCGGAGGGTTCCAAGGCTGGAGACTGGAGCTGAAAGACGTGGAGCTCCCCGAGAGCTCCAGCATCAAAAAAACACACACCTGAACCCCTAAGACAGCACTAAGGCATCAGCAACCAAGGAGCTGCAATAGCTCCTGTCAAGAAAAAAGCTCTTTAACCTGTTTCTATGAGTCAACAGTAGAGAAGCTAGAAATAGCAGAAAAAGAGGAGAATGATAAAAACAAACAGATATAGCAGTATCTCGGTTCACCAATGCTTTTGTTTGCAAACTGCATCAGATGACAAACACGACTACAGCCATCTTTCTTACACAAACACAAACGTGGCCATCTTTTCCAAAATCTCGAACAAACTCAGTGTTAACAGAGGTACCACTGTATTTCAAAGATGTTGAGGGGAGAGGTGACTGCGAATTAACAGAGGGAGGGAAGATCTTGTTGACCACAGTGACATTTAAACAGAATGACTGAATAAGTTCTATCTAAGCAGCGTGGTGCGAGTAATAAGGGTTTTAATTTCTGATATAGTATTAACAATATTTTCTGCTGTCTTTTTTAGATTCCTCCCCCTTTCACTCCCCCAGGAAATACTGTGCATTTTTGGGTCTCACCAACACCCTCAGATTTAAATGGGGGGGGGGGGCAACCTGCTATTTACCTAAGTGGTTCCGAAGCTTCTCCCTCCTTGATTTGATCTCTAGTCGCATTCCTTTACCTATTAAAGCCTGTCTTTCCCACCTATTGTCTACAAGCACTAGATCTGAGGGCACAGACAGCTATCCCAAAAATATCAGGATTTAGCACAGTAATCATCTTTAATTTGCTATTAACTTAATCTGGAGTCCTGTATGACTCATACTGTTTTATCATGACTGATCTTAGTTAAATCTGATTTGTTTGATTGCTGTTTGTTATCGACAGATTTTATTCAAAACTGTTATAATTGATTGTATTAAGTCTGAGAGTATACACAAGTATACTGAAAATGACAAGATTCACTACAATACCTATTCTGATTTGATTACTACCTTTTTTTGTAGTTTTACACTACCTACAAAGTTGTGTTTCTATCAATACTGTTATGTACTAATATATTCAATTAGACTATATCTGATGATATAGCCAATTCTATTAAAGATAACAAGAGAAACAACACAGTAACCATGGTAGAACCCTTGTACAGCAGTTTTATATGTCTTTTTCATTTTATGTATCTATAGGAATATGTTTGTTCTGTCCTACTTTGTTTTGTTCCCTCCTCTAATATAGAAAGGACAGAAATACATGTTAAGACTCATGCATGTGTAGAACCTATAAACAGTTTACGAGAACTGATCTTATGACACATGACAAAAAAAAAAATACTTTGAAGGAAAAAAAGACATCACAGTACCCAGTGCTGATCCTGGAGTATCATGATGTGAAATCCAGCAATACTATTATTCTTTGTCCAGAGTGATTTTAGTCTGCTTGGTTTGTTTAATCTCAACAAAAATGAAGATATGGATAACAGCATGTATGTTTAAGTGTATACGGTTGATAACCATATTACTAAGTTTTTGTTGAATAGTTGAATAGAACTATTTGCAATCTCGCTATTTGAATTCCCACTTATCTGTTCCACTTTTATATCTTGAACAATTATTTGTAAGAGGACAATATGTGAACATCAACTAGTGATTTATTAGTGTTTATTTTTTTCTTTGAAAGTATGTATTATATCAACCTGTTTACTGTTTTGTTTAGTCTTTCTGTAAATAAAAATAAATAAACAGAATCACTGAGACCTGACATCTGTGAGTAATTCAGATAATGACAAAGAAATAACAAGGACCAGGCTGCATGTGGCCTTGAAGACTCTTGAATAACTTTGGTTTGTTCAGCAAGAAGCTACTGAAGGGCTTTGCACAAAGAGTGACGTTCCTACCTTGTGGCCGTGCCAGGTGTTGGATACAGACCACAGGGAGCCAAGGGCAGAAGGAAAGGATGCAGTTAGAGAACTCTATAGCAGCCCAGACACAAGATGGAGGGGACCTGGCCTGGGGCAGGAACGAGAAGACGTGCTGGATTCAGCATACATTTTACAGATGGAATTATAGGTTTCTTGCCCATATGACTGTGGAGAAGCAAGGATGACTCCAACATTTCTAGATAGTAAGTGATGGTTTTATCAAAGTGTATGTGATCATTTAAAGATCACATTGTTTCTTAGGAATGTTACATGCTGATCACTAATGATTTATAAAACAGCACAGTAACACAGAATTGTTAAACAGTTTTGAAGCACGAATCATCACGTAATACTGAAGTGATCTTAGACAAGTAATTTTTAATTGTACACTGGTTTAGTACTCAGACTGCTCCATGTGATTTCCTTCAAGTGTCTCAAATTATCACTTCTGTATCCTCACCTGTCAACACAGTGAGCGGCAACACCCAGTAAGGAGAACTTACTACAAATAAATTTAAAACATGGAAATTATCATTCATAGTCATAAAACTCTGTGATAAAATAACCTTGTAAAGAACTTACAGGGGTCAAAACTATCTTCTCTCACTAAGATTCCACAACACTTACCACTCAAGTTTCTGAAGACAAATGTGCTTTCATTCCTGTGACCTAAATATCCTGAACCTCTGCTCTGCACCAAGCACTGTGTCAGCGACTGAGTGACACGTGGAGAACAGGACACCACCTTCCCTACCTCAGAATGCCCACATTCTTCACTCAGCCCATATGTGCACAAGCTCTTCCCCCAGAGATCCAACGTGACTTCACAGCTACCCAGCTTTCACTAGGTTTGCCAATGCTCCTCTTAATTCTGCCAGTACGAATTGAATAAAATATTGAATCTAAACACTGTCTACATAAAGTTCACTTTATATTCGATTTAACAAAACTACTAAGGTTGTTTAACTATGTGGTAAAGTTTTATACACCAGGCTTCTAACTTGAATTAAACTAACCCTCTATTCATTTGTTTCCATGGGACAGCATTAACAAATATGTAGTACATATCAGGGACTGGGAATAAAAATATCTTCAAGCCCTGGGGTTGTGGTGCACACTTGTAATCCCAGCACTTGAAAGGCTGAGGTAGGAGGACACTATGAGTTCAAGGCCAGCCTGGGCTATATAAACAATTCAAGGTCAGCCTAAACTACATAGTGAGACCTTGTACCAAAAATAATAAAAATAAATCTTCAAGAATCTCAGAGTACAGGGAGTGTTAGACACAGACATTTCAAGTATCAGGGAGCTATTAAGAGTAACTGGAAAATACAAGGGTGTAATGGCACAATGGGTGGAGGATCAAAGTAGGACAGTCATGGAAAACAAGCCAAATTCTAAACGAAAGTTTATGTGTTCGTATTTTTTAAGCTGACAAATAACAAAATCAAGCTAATTAACATATCACTTCACTTTTCCTTTCATGGCAAGACTTTAAAGTTTAGTCTCTTAGGCTGAAACAAACAGTATTTTATTATTAATCACTCTGGTGTGCAATTTGATATCAAAAGCTTATTTCTCCTCTCTAACTGCAACTTGGTATCTTTTAACATTTT